CGCGCTTGCCGAGCCCTTCGCGGCCGCGAATGTCTTCGGGCATCCACACTTCTCGTGCTTTCGCACCTGGGCATGCTGTGACTAGCGACTGTTGGCCTGGATCCTCATCGCCATCTTCTGCCAGCGGATGCAAGGCTCCCATCGGCGGCCCCGTCGTTGCTTTGTTTTTTCTCGGGAAGGGCGTTGGATGTCTTGGTGGAACCGCGATTGTTGGCCTTCGTGGCCTTGCTCGATCCCCGGACTCGCCGGCACGCGTCGGACTCGCGTTGGTCGGCAGCTTCTTCGAGAGCGACTTTGACGTCACGGTTGACTCAGCACCCTCTGCCTCCGGTGTCGCGAGGGACATCTTCTTGGTGCGCGGTGCTATGGGCGTCTCCCCTGCCTCCTTGTCCACCGGCAGATCCTGCCCTCGGCCCCCGACTCGGGGAAGCTTCGCCCAGGCGGCGAGGTGGTGCCGCGACGGCAGCAGCGTTCTCTGTCGCGCTCTCGTGGCCGCCTCGACCAAGACTCCTTCGCGTGCCACATGCGACGCGAATGCCTCGCTTTGATCCTCCGTCGTGCGTGGGTTTATCACGGCGAACAGCACCGCGGCCCGCGCCCCGCGTGGAACTGCGCGGCGCGCTCCTGCTCGGCAGGCGCAGCCGGCCACGACGGCGCTGAAGATCAATGGGCCACCTCGGCGCTGCAATCCCGCGGTGGACCCGCCGGGCCCCGCTCGAACTAATCGTCTGGGGTCATTGATTTTCAGGCGTGTCAATTCCATGGCATTCGAACTTCACTACGGCCCGACATCCCGTGATGCCTTGTTTCTGGACCGTCGCAATAGCTTTTGAACTCATCATCGTGATCCTCGCGGCGTGCTGCTTATGTGGAAGAAGGTTCGGCAGCGCTGGCCGTTCGCTTCCCGCGCCTGAATTTGAATGACAACTACACTCAACTCCCATTCCTCAGGCGTTGTAGCGGCTTCCGGCTGGGCGACTTCGAACCGCGGGCAGAGCGTCGCGCGAGCTAGAGAGCTGCCCCGCCAGCCCCTGCCGGCCGCCCCCGTAGACCAAGGGGCCAAGAACATCAGAGACTGCGGCCCCGCCAGGTCGAACCGCAACTTGCCATCGCCTTCGACTGAAAGCCGCAAGACGCTTGATGCCGATACTCCCGACCGCCTCTCCTTTCTCGCCCCCCATGCGCGTGCCCCTCGTCTTCTCGCTGCGGTCCATGGCGATCTGGCCCTCTCAGATCTCCGGGGCGATGGCGTCCTTGATCGCCGGGGCCAGGCCCACGCCGACAATGCTCTTCGACGCGCCCGTGTCGACGATCGCGTAGCCGACGGTCTTCTCGCCCGCCCATCCAACCTGACCTTCAGCAGGTGGGGTGCCCACGTTGTTATAGTTCGCGCGGTCGATCTCCCCCGCCCCTCCAACGAAGGCGTTGCCCGCCCCGCTGGCCAGCCGCGCGTCGCCGCCCTCGCTGCCCGTCTGGCCGCGCCCAGGGCTGTTCACAGCGCGGTGCGGCCCCTGGCCGATCAAGCGCCTGCCCGAGCCTTTGCCACGACCCTGCGGTGGCCCCCTCACTCCACGCTGCGCTGGCGGCGGCCAGGCCGCTTCCCTCCTCCCCGTGGCCCAGGTGGTCTGGGAGGGCGGAGAGCCGACTTGACTGCCGCCGCGATAGTTTGCTCCTGTGTGCTCCGCTGGCCGAAGCCCGCTACGGGGAAGGAACCGCCCCTGTCCTTCGTCGCCTCGGCCAGCAGCTGCTTCGCCTCGGTGAAGGTCTTGTTCGCGTCCTGTGCGTAGACCTCGGCGTCCACGTCATGGGCATCCAGCTCGGCGAATTCGTCGAGCGCTTCCTCCTTGCGGTTCGCGTCGCCCACTTCCTCGAGAGCGCTCCGGCTCTTCCGCAGCTCCGTCGTCTTGACAGCCCACCCTCTGGCGCTCCCGGCGGAAATACCTGTCGTTCATGTGCGAGCCTCCTTCTGGCGCTGAGCAATCGCGTTTCGTGCTGCCAGATCCTTGCCGGACCAAACTAACACCGACGTCTCGGTGACAGTCTCAATGCTCCAGCTTGACAGTCCTGCCACAACCGGGGCCCCTTCGCTCGGGTCCGAGCTCGCGCTGACCAAGCAAATGATTTCTCACAGCTCAGCAAGGGCCACGTCTAGCGCCCCCCATGTCTGGGGCGATCACTCGCGCGCTCTTGTCCATCTCTTGATCGGAATATTCCTCTTGCTCCGCGGGTAGACTCACCGTCCGCCCCAACTTGTGCATTCTGGGGCCATGCGTCTTCTTCTCGTGGTAGTAATGAAAGACCTTGTGAACAACGTCGCTCGACGTTTGCTTGCCCAGACTCCGTTGGAATACCTTCAGCAGGTTCCGTGGTCGTTTTTCCTCCAAGATCGCGTCTGCAACCTCATTCGTCCGCGGAAGACGCAGGTTTAGACAGTGCACGATGTTTTTTGGAAAGGCGTGCACCAAGCGTGGTCCGAGCAGCTTTCGCTTCTCTTCCCGAGTGACGAAAATTAGCAGCTCCAACTCGGCCTGGTACTCGTCCAGCGTTACCGTCCCGGGTCGGGATCTCCAGGAAATCCCCGATATGGTTCGTGCTCGTTGAGCCACTCGGTCGACTTCGCACTTCCAAAACCGTGTCGACTAAATGAGGCGACTTGCCAGTGAAACGCGTATACAATAATATCGATTCGCTATCAAGAATCTTCGGGTGCGCAATTGAGATGATCACTGTTCCAAAAAAAGACGTGGGCTTGTTCTCCAGCCGAACACATACTGTGTATGTAGGCCGCGCGCAGAAAGCTCCGGCACCGAATACGAATACAGCACTACATGTTTCGGCGTGTGAGAGCCTCTCCCTCTGGCAAACAACTCGATTGCTACGACAAGGGGGGAAGAGGAGGACAAAACAAGGATGGGGAGGCCAAGTGGGGGGAGGAAAGGAGGAGGAGGAGGAGGAGGAGGAGGAGGAGGATGAGGAGGAAGAGGTGGAAGAGGAGCGCGAAGGCATGGCTACGACTTGACACGAGGACCTCGGTGACACGAACGACGACGACCAAGAGAAAAATGAGCGACGAGGACATCCCTCAACAACTCGAGCCCTCTGCAGCCCTCCCTTCTCCTGTTACGTGGCTTAGCCAACATCTCCTAGTGAATCCACTCGTGGCGGTGAGATGCCTCCTGGGGGCAGACAAACAGGAAGCATGTCCGAAAACATAGTCGTCGTCACCATCGCCTCCAATGGAAAATCGTCGCTTCCCATGGGAATTTATAGCCCGAACCCAATATCCCCAAACACCCGTGAGTTTTTCAGGGAGCCAGGGTGGCTCCAAATACTGCTCGCGCGTCCTCCGAATCATCGTTTTCCTCCTCTTCCGGATCGGCGTGCGCCCTCGGCGTCATCGTTGTCGTTGTCGCCGCAGTCGTCGTTGTTATTGTCGTCCTCCCCCTCCTCCACGACATCCTTTCTTTCGTCCTCCCCCCTTCGACTCCACCTCCTCCACCACTCCCATATTCTAGTAATTCGCTCCTGCCGTAATTTCTCCTGCCACACATATTTGATACTCCTCCTCTGTCTCCTCTTTCGCCTCCCCCTCTCTTCTCCTCTCGCTTCTGATACTGTCATTCCACCTGGTTCGCGTCGCCTCTGTTCGTCCTAGTGCTTCTCGTCCACACTCTTCTATCCATCCTCTCGCTTGAGATATCCACAACATGTCCTCAGACAGGGCTCTCTCGCTTGGGACTTCCTTAGACGTGACCTGGGAATCATCTCGTCTCGCTTTGGCAACTGCTATTTAGCTATTCGGTCGCCTGGGCGACGACTTGATAACGCAAGGCGTGCTCGGATTCGTCGTTTTGGCATGTCGCCGCATCCCTCCTCTCTCTTCCTCTCCACTTGCCTCCGTCCCCCAGTCTCCCTCCCTCCCTTTTCCATTCCCGCCCCACTCCGCCCCAGCCTCCCTCCTCCCTCTTCACTCATCGCCACGCTCCGGCTCGATATTCCTCGCTGTCTACGCACTCCGTGACGACGCTCTCGCCCTACAAATGCTTGAGACTTGCCTGCGCAGATCAACCAGGAATCCTGCTCTCGCACTGGCGCGGGATAGTGACTCCCTCGGGTCAGTCTGGGTCGCTTCGGCGACTCCCTGCTGGAGCAAAATACTCGAACAGGAATGTAATCAGCAATGTCGTTTGGGCCAGGCCTCGCTCGAGGATGTCTCTGGTGAAATGGCTCGAACACCTCGAGAAAGGCATCTCGGAACCAAGAACTGCGAGGATATATCAAGCGAAACGGCCTGGACAACCCCTCGCGCGGCGTCTTTGAGCACAAAGTTGCGAGATCGTGTCAGGCGAAACGGGCCGGATCACCCCAATCCTGGCCATCTCGGAGCTCATAATTGTGAGGATATCTCAAGTGAAAAGGGCCAGACCACCTCGCGCGAAGCATCTCGGAACCCAGAGTTGCGAGGAGGTCTCAGGCGAAACGGGCCAGACAACCTCGCGCGCGGCATCTGGAAGCCCAGAGGAGAGCGAGGATGTTTCAAACAAACCAGGCAGGACCACTTCAAGCCTGGTCTTCTCGGAGCTCAGAGTTGTGAGGATGCCTCAAACAAAACGACCTGGACCACATTGCGCGCGGCGTCTCTTGAGCGCATTGTGGTGAGAATGTCGAATGCGAAACAGGCCTGCCCAACTCTCGCGCGGCATCTCGGAGCCTGGACTTGTGAGGATATCTCAAAAACGAAACTGGCCACATCGTCGTCGCCGCTGACTGGCGGCGGCCATCGCGGGGCCTTCAACGACCGTCGGTGGCCCGGGTGGCAGCGCGTCGTCGTCGTCGTCCTTGCCCTCCTCCCCTCTCCCTCCCCTTGTCGCCATCACGTCGTCGTCGTCGTGGCCAGCGCTGCGGGCGCCCGCGCCCGCGCGGCGTGGCGTGCGCGCGCGCACCGCGCGCAGGGCGGCGTCATCGCCGTCGTCCGCCGCCGCCAGCGCTAGGAGCGGCTCCTGGCCCTCGCCGGGCGCGGCCAGCTCCTGTCGTGCCCCACCGCCCCTTGGCTCGGGCCATTCGGCGCCGGTGAGCTGCACGAGCTCGTCCCACAGCCTGGCGTCGTCGTCGCCGCCATCCTCGTCCTCGCCGTCGCTGCCGTCGCGGCTGCCGCTGTCGAAGAAGGGCGGCGGCGAGGACCGCAGCGCGGACGGCGACGACGAGGTCGTCATCGTCGCCGCCGTCGACGCCGCCGTCGCCGCCGCCGTCGTCGCTGTCCTCGGCGCCGTCGCCGCGGCCGCCGTCCTCGTCATCATCGCCGCCATCTTTATCGTCCTCGTCGTCGCTGCCATCCTCGTCGTCGTCGTTGCAAGCTGGCCATGAACCTGGCATGGCGGCGCCGTCAACGCCGCGGTCCTCGTCGTCGTCGCCGCCGTGCGTCGTCAAAGACGGGTAACGGCGAGGAGTGCGGCGAGGACGATAACGACGACGGCGACGACAGCGTCGTCCTCGTCGTCACCGCCCGCGCCATCGCCGCCGCATGCTTTCGGCCTCTTCGTCCTCATTTTCCTCCTTCTTGATCTCTTCCTCATCCTCTGGGCTCGTCGCCCCCCCCCGGTACTCCTCCTCCCCCTCCTCCTGCACCCTCTTCTTCACTCTCTTCCTCCACCTGTTCCTCTCTTCCTCTTGTCGTTGATACGGCATGATCGAATCCACAGTGATGCAAGCGAGTGAAGATAGGAAGCGAGTGCAGCACAGTCAGCGCCAGGTAGCGCTAAAGAACGGAAGCTCCCCGTGTCCTTCATTCCCTTCCAGACCACGGCTGGCAATGCCAAGCGACTGTGATGGGGCACTTCGTGCGGCGCATAGCCACGGCAACACAGCTGATGCGCGTCTGAGGGTCTAGGATGTACGGGGCACTTCCTAGGGAAGGTTCTATACCGCCACGCGCTGCACGCATCGCATTCGGCGGAGCCGCGTCGGGGGGTGGGGCACGTAGTGCATGGTGGGCTCCAGGAGGGCGACCATGGCGACAAGCGTCGGGACCCCTCCGTCGGGACCCCCCATCCCCCGCGGCGATCTCTGAGCCTGGCGGTCTGCCCGGGCCTGCTCTTCGCAGGGGGGGCCCTGGCCGGACGCCGGCAGGCTCCGGCCAGGGCCCCCCTGCAGAGCAGGTCAGGGGGCCACGTGCGAGCCCTACCCCTCTAACCCCCACGATTTCTGAGAGGGGAGGGTGGGGTTCACTTCGCTCGGGAGCTCCCGAGCGAAGCGAACCCCACCCTCCCCGCTCAGAGATCGTGGGGGGCAGGGCAGGGGTAGGGCTCGCACGTGGTCCCCTACAGGTCCGACTCCCCGAGAACGGACGGCATCTTCGACCTTTCTGGCGGTCGGGGCCTATGGGGGCGAGTGCTCGAGCTGGCAGGCGCGTCCTGCCCCGAGAGCCGGGCGTCGCAGCTGCGTCGCACGTGGCCTGCTCCGAGCGAGCCGCGGGTCCTGACGGAGCGCTCTCCGGCCCGTGAAGCGTGGCAGACAGGCGGGATACAGAGGGAACGCTAAATGAGGAACGAAGCCCCGTCTTGGCCCTGTAAGCGCCTCCGTGCCCGAGGAGGGCAAGAGGAACAGCACTGGAGGAGCCTAAGGAACATCGAGCCCCTTCCGAACCCAAACTGCTCCCTGTTTCAGCGTCTTGACCGTAGGGGCTAAAGAGTTTGCAAAGCGTTTCTTTCGCAACGTCTGATCCCACGATGGGGCACCTAGTCTTTGAGACACAAATACTCGCACCAATCGGTTTACATCATCCCCTGCCGCGGGGGCTTGCCAGGCTCCCCGGCAGCCTTCTCCTCCTCTTCTTCTTGAAGGCCAAGTCCGGCGTGGTCTTCTTAGCGTTCCGAACGGGTCGCATCACGGAGTCGAGAATCGAACTATCTGACGTACCAGAAGAGCGAGGACGACAGGATGCAGCATTGGACATCGCAGAGGAGTGGCAGTGAGAGTGGAGAACGGCACAGAAAAGAGATCGGAGGGAAGAGAAGGAAGCGGGGAAGAAGGCAGAAGAGGGGAGGGAATGGGGAGGGGAGGAGAGCGGGTCGAGGGTGATGTTTCGCGGCAACGGCAGCAACCATGGTGGCGGTGATGGGTGGTAGGTGATTGGTTGAAGGGAGTGACGTGCTGGAGGGTGCTGGCTGCGTGGTCGAGGGCTTTCTGACCCCCTCTTCTCCTCTCGCACGTCGGTCCTTCACCCACATCTCTTCCTCCTCCTCCTCCTCCTCCTCCTCATCCCTGCTTGCCCTCCTCAGCATTATCCTGCCTGCTCCCCCATATTCGTCTTCGTCCTCCTCGTGGAGGCGGTAGAGGTGTCTACTGAGGAAGAAGAGCGAGAAGCCCTTGCGATACCCTTCGGGCTCACCCTGTTCTTCGTCAGGGGAGGGCTGGAAGATGACTCTCCTGGATTCGCTAACAGTGGGGAAGAGGAGGAGGAGGAGGAGGAGGAGAAGGCGGAGAAGAAAGAGGAGAAGCAGAGGCTGAAGGGAGAGAGGCGGAGGAGAAAACCGATGGGAAGGAGGAAGATATTGTAAAAGAAGAAGGGCGGAGGAAGGAGAAGGAGGAGGGAGGGAGAGACGATGAGGACGATCACGCAACGGCGGCGACGACGACGACTGGCGCCCAGAAGACGAGGAGACCGATAGCGGTGATTCCCCGCGCCCCCCGCGCCAGACCTCTGCCAGGAGGGAGGGGTCCTGGAGGGAAACGGGCCCTCGCCGTCGCTCGGACGTCCACTCCCCGTGTATTTTGCAGCTTCGCACTTTCATCTTCGCGAACTGAGCGAGCCAGGATGCTCCTCGAGGGTCCCCGCCGAGAAAGACACACGCACGTCCGAGCGATGCCAAGGACCGGCGTGCCATCATCCCGAATCGTTTGCTGACGGCCCCGGGGCACTGCAAGGGCACAAGGAGGGCGAGAGCAGGGACACGTCTCGGGCGCCCCGTTCCCTCGGACCCCCCGGGGGTGTCTGGAGGCCCCTGGTAGGAACGCGGGAAAGTGGATTCTTCAATACTGTTCATCTTAGAAATGCAGGGACGCACTTGTCGTCGACCTTGGAGCATCGTGGAGTCTCCCGGGGCTTCTGCTGGTCCCCAGGGCCACACGGGGATACGAGTTCTCCGCGGGGCACCTGCTGGCGGGTGGGTCCTCGATCTGCCGCAAAGACACTCAGGGCCTGGACCCCCGCAGAAGGTCCAGATGCACACCACACAGGAGAAAAAGAACGGCACAAGTTCCGAGGTCCGCGCGGAGTTCTCGGATCGGCGCTGGACACCCCCCTCTCTAGCGCGCGAAGCGCGGCAGGCCCAGCGCTGGAGGCGCCACCAGATGGGCCCAGCGCCGATCCGAGAAATCCGCCCAGACCGTCGAGGGTCTGGTCTATGTTCGTGCAGTCCTCTCTCAGAGGAGAGGGCCTCCAGACCTGGATCCCCGCCGAAGGTCCACGAAGGCCTCCGCGCGAGTGCGAGGGACGGGGCACCACCAGCTGGCACGCCGCCCCCCCCCCCCTCGCTGGCGAGGTGCGCCCTCGGGGCCTCCGCCCTCGCTGGCGAGGTGCGCCCCCGACGCGGCCCGGCCGGCGAAGCGCAGGGACGGGCGGAGGGGGGCGGAGGGTGGGGCCACCGCCCGAGGAGCCTGGTGCGCCCCGCGGTGGGCCGCCCCGCCTGCCAGGGCTGCGCCCCCCATCGGTGCGACGGAAACCGGCACGGGGAGTGATGGGCCTCTTTTCCATCACCACCACCAGAAGTTGGAGGGGGAGGGGGTCCTCCTCCTCCTCCTCCTCCTCCTCCTCCTCCTCCTCCTCCTCCTCCTCCTTGTCCTCCACCTCCTTCCCCCCTAACTTATGGTGGTGGTGGTGGTGGAAAACAGGCCTATCAGGGAGAGCAGGCACGAAGACCGACAGCATTCCCTGCTCGCTCTGGACAGGACTCGCCGTCGGTGTCCCCGCGGGGGCTGTCCATTTGAGACACACGGCGGGCTGCCCAACAGCGGCCGCTGTCGGCTTGGGACAACGTCTGTTGTTGGGCATCGTGCCAACGTGTTCCGTACATGTGTCGTGCATCCACATCCCACAGGCGCGCCAAGGGAACGCCCTCCAAGCCGCGAGGGCTATCATTTGGCGCCGCTCGCTGGCGCCACTCGCTGTGGAAGTTGTCTCAGGCCAGGCCGGCGGGGACACCCGCAGTTGACCTCTTCTCTCGCCTCTCTGTGCGTGACCCTTAAGGCGCACGCGTCTCTGTGGAGTGTCCTGCGGCCGAGTGCCCTGCGCAGGCGCCATTCCACAGGGGGTGGGAATATGCTGACTGGCTGTCTTGCTCGTTCATCCCTCTCACACTCGCGGCTTGGTTTCATGTATGGGTTTTTCATGTGCGGGCGTGCGAGGCGCTGGCGCGGGCGCCAGACTCTGGAAGCTGTTCTCCGTCGAGGCTGGAACTTGTAATGCGAGTCCACCGCATAGGGAGCGGGAGGAGGGGCAGCGAGTATGGATATCGTTGGGCCGCAGGGGGCCCGAACGTAAGTGCACATATCCACCGCCTGCCGAGGTCCAGCAAAATCGATTCCCCAGGCGATGGATGTGTACGAAATCCTCGATTGTGCGCGGCGCTGCGGTGAGGGCCACGCTCTCCCAGAGATCCGACGCATTGTTTTTCAAAACTAGGCTCCCGAGGTCTCGACCCTTTCCCCGGGGCTGGCGTTTCATCCTGAATCGTTGTTTGACGGTCCCGACGGCGACACAAACTCGGCCCTGCTGTTTCATTACGTTGGAGGTCTGGGAGCGCTTCTGCAACGATCAGCATCCGTCCTCGATTTGTTTACGGATAGCAAGAGGTTTTCCCTCGCTCCTCGTCATCCTCTCCATCTATTTTGTGTTGTTGATCCTCTCCCTTCCTGTCACCGACCTCCTCGTCCTCTTCGTCCTCGTCCTCGCCCTCCTGTCGTGCTCTCCCCCCCTCCTTCTCCTCCTCTTCCTCCTCCTCATTTTCGTCCTCCTTCTCCCACTGCTCCTCTGGCCTGACCCCGTTTTCCTCCTCCTCCTCCTCCTCATCCTCCTCCTCCTTCTTCCTCCTCCTTCTCATCTGCATCCCCATCATCATCATCACCACCACCACCACCAACATCACCACCACCACCACCACCATCACCACCACCACATCACCATCATCATCATCATCATCATCATCATCATCATCATCATCATCATCATCATCATCATCATCATCATCATCATCATCATCATCGTCATCATCATCATCATCGTCGTCGTCATCATCGTCATTATCATCGTCATCATCGTCATCATCATCGTCATCATCATCATCAGCAGCATCATCAGCATCATCAGCATCATCAACATCAGCATCCTTATCATCATCCTTACCATCATCACCAGCATCATCCTTACCGTCATCACCACCACCACCATCATCATCACCACCACCACCACCATCATCATCATCATCATCATCACCACCATCATCATCATAACCCTCATCCTCATCCTCATCCTCCTCCTACGCCTCCCCTTCCTCCTCCTCACCAACGCCATTCATCATCGCCGTCATCATCGGCATCCTCGTCCTCGCCCTCCGCCGACTTCTTACTCCTTGCCCCCCGCTTCGGCGGCGAGCGAGGGGGAGAAGCGAGAAGGAGAAGGCCTTCACAGAGGGCGGCGGGGCTTCTCAGAAGGCCTCCCGCCTCCTGCGAGGTCCCCTGTGTCTTCGGGGGAGGCCCCGAACACCTCTCAGAGGGCGCGGGGGCCTCCGAGCCCTCCGTGGAGGCCCGCCCCTCCTCGCTTCCCCACGGGGCTCGCCGCCGACCCCTCCCCCTCCTCCCGGCACGCACGCACGCCGGCAGGAACATGCTCGACGCCCGCGGTTCTCGGAGCGGCGAGCGCGGGGCGCACGAGGCTCCGGGGCCCCACTCGTGGGGCCGCAGATCCGGCCAGCAGCGGGGCGCTCCCCCGAGACGCCGACCGCAGCGCCTCACGAGCGGCGAGCGCCCCCACCTCCGCGCCCTCGCGGCCCGAGGCTCCAGGGCGCGCTCCCGCGGATGCGCGGTCGCACGGGTGCGCTCCGCGCGGGGCACGGTCGCGAAACCACGCCCCGCATATCCGCGGGGTCGCGGCTCCGGGGCCCACGTCGAGTCGGCTCTGCCGGCGCAGAGCCCGGGATTGTTGGCAGCACGGGAGGCCCGCGACAACGACCGAGTCGGGCTGGCCAGACCAGCTGGCTCGGCCCACGTCCTGGCGGCCGGCCGTGCAGTCACAGCCGCGGGCCCCTGGCGCAAGGTGCCCCCAAGAGTTCCAAGGAGGCCCTCACGGCCTTCAGAGCACCCCTCGCGAGGCCCAGAGGGCCCAGGGCCCCAGGATTGAGCGAAAAGCTGGAGGCACCTTGGGCCAGGGGCACCTCCAGCAACGCCTGAACGGGCATCGCCAACACAGGGGAAATCGGCAGATGCCGTGGCCACGTGGCCGACTTCGGAGAAAACCCGAGTTCAAAGATGCTGGCCTGAGCGGCCTACCTTGGAAGGGCCCAGGGACACACAAATAAACAAACACAAACCCAGGATTCCCACTACTTCTACATACTTTCTGAAGCTTCGTCTCATGTCCCATGCTCCCCCAGGGGTCGACGATTCTTTGTGTCTGTGTGTATTTTCCCTCCTATAACAGGCTTCGTGGGGTTTTCGGATGGACCAAACATGTTGGGCCCAACCCTGGGACATACGATGGGGGTGGCGTCCAAACTCGATAGGGCTGCGTCCGAATAGCCCCCTTGGGGTGTATCCCAAGGTTTCCCTCCTTTTCTGAGCGGCTCTAATTCTCTTCGAAAAGCCGAGGGTTGGGGGAGAACGGTCGTCTGCGAGTCGATGCCCCGAGGGCGCGGCCTGTCCTCGAGCGCCCCGCACGGTCGAACGAGTCGTCTTAAGGGGGTAACTCCTGGGAGGCCTTCATCAGAGCGATTGAAGGCCATGTCAAGGCCGATTCAGGGGCCGCTGAGCCGGAGCAAGCAGGATGAGGCCAGGGATGCAGCCGGATGCAGCGGGATTGCGCCGGATGAAGCGGGATTGAGCTGGATCAAGAGGGACTCAAGCGAATCAGGCTAGTTTTCGGCTTGCGCCGTTCAGAATGCAAGCCTCCCATGAGTTGCATCCTGGGTCGTCGTCGTCGGGCGGCTCCCTCTAAGGGGGTTGCCGGGCTGGTGCCGCTGCGCTCCTGGAAGCTCGGGTGCGTCAGCGCGCGGAACGACTCTTGCGAGGCACTCGGGCGCTTGACCGTGCCACTGACGGGGAGAGAGCGGGGGGCGAACAAGAGACTTGAACTAATGCTACTGCTGCTGCTGCTGCTGCTGCTGCTGCTTCTCGTCCTCTCCTCTCCCCCCCTTCCCCTCCCCACCTGCCCCCTCCCACTCCCCCACCGTAGCCCCGCTCCCTCACCCCCTCCTCCTTCACCCGAAGGGTGGTGTTCTCCACCACCGTGCCCCTTGGCACGGCGAAGCGCTGTGGAATGCCAAGAGCTGTCTGGCAGGATTTCTGTGGTCTACTGAAGAAGCCGTGCGCTCAGCCGCGTGCACCCCCCCCCCCGCACAAACACAAACACACGCACACACACGCACACACACACACACAGTCACACACACACACGCACACACACATGCACACACACACACGCACACACACACACACACACACACACGCACACACACAAGCACATCTTGGCGTCGCGCGCATTGGCAGGGCGCAGAAAAGTCAGAGAAGCAAGAGAAGCGGGCACTCACGCGCCTGGACGGCCGAGCCCTCATGCGCTTGGAACCAAGCAGCGCGGGACACACACACACACACAGACACACACACACACACACACGAACACATACATTCACACACACGCACGCACTCACGCACGCATGCACGCACGCACGCACGCGCGCGCACGCCCGCGGGTGCGCGCGCACGCACACACGCACACGCCGCACACGCACACGCACACGCAAACGCATACGCACACGCACACGCCCACGCCCACGCCCATGCCCCCGCCCCCGCCCACGCCCACCCCCAGGCCCACGCCCACGCGCCCACGCCCACGCCCACGCCCAAGCGACCACGCCCACGCCCAAGCCCACGCACACACACACACTCATTCGCAGGCGCCCACGCAAACACAAACAAACGCCACAGAGTACATCACAGTTAAACACAGTTCACACACAGACACACACAGACACACACGCACAGACGCATACACACAGGCGCACACACAGACACACACAGACACACTCGTGATGTGTCGTGCTGTGTCGTGCTGTCGTGCGGTGTGTCGTGATGTGCTGCGTTGTGGTGCGATGTGCTGCCACACGCACACACACACACGCACACGCGCGGCCGTGCTGCGCTGTGCATGAGATGTGATGTGGAGCACAGACGCACACGGACGGCCCCCCGTGACGTACTGCGCTGTGATGTATATGTGTATGCGAACTCACGGCCGTTTTCTGGAGTTTGGCTCTCCTCCTTCCTTTCCTCTCCTCCCCTTGTCGTTCTCGCCGTCGTTGTCGTCGTCGTTGTCGGCGGCGCCGTCTGTGGTCGTGGTCGCTGTTGTCCCTTGTCCGTCGCTGTGTTTTTCGCCGTCGTCGCCGACGTCGCCGTCGTTGTCGTCTTCGTCGTCGTCGCCGTCGTCGCCGTCGTCGTCGTTGTTCGTCGTCGTCGTCATCGTCGGTGTCGTCGTCGTCGTCGTCGTCGTCGTCGTCGTCGTCGTCGTCGTCGTCCCCTTGTCCGCCCCCCTTCCACCGCCTCCCTTCCTTTCCTGTGTACCTCCCTTCTTTTTCGTCCCCTCCCCTTCCCTTGTCCCTCCCTCCCTCTCATCCTGTCCTCCCTTGCCAGCCTCTGCTTTCCATCGCTCACTCTTTCCCTCCCTCCTTCCATTCTCTCCCCCCGTCCTTTTCTCTCTCTCCCTCTCCCTCCCCCCCCTCCTCCCCGTTTCCCCCCCCTCCCCCCCATTCCTCCCGCCTCTCCGGGGGGATGTTAACTAAGCACACGCTGGCTCAATGAAACGCCCACCCGCGTTTCCACATGCTCGCGCGAGCCTGGTGCGGTGTCGCGCGGTGCACGTGCTGCCCCATCACGCCACCCGGAACGGCCTGGTCCACCTTCCAAAACCGACGGCGGCAACCACGGAAGCCTGCACACGCGGGCACGTCCCAGGCTGGTGGGCGTTTCGCGCTGTGGGAGGACCTCGTCGTGCGTTGCTCGCGGGTCGCGTGGGCGTAGGTGTGCCCAGGACCGGAAGGGGGCAGGCCCAGAGTGGATGGGAGCATGCAGAGATCTGCGGGTGGGTGGTGGTGAGGGTTTGCTGCACAGAAGACCGTGCCCCACCCGCGCACTTCCCCCTCACCCACCGCCACCCGCATTGTTTGCGTTGGCGCGCGGCCTGGGCTGAGACGGAGTGAGGATGCGAGGTCCCACTTGTGGCGGGCAACAACAACAATCTCACCACCAACAACAACATCGACGACGACAACAACAACAACGACGACAACAACAGCAGCAACAACAGCAACAATAACAACAACAGCAACAACAGCAGCAACAATACCAAGGACACTAACAGCAACAACTACACCAACAACAACAACAACAACATCATCATCATCATCATCATCATCATCATCGTCGTCATCCTCATCATCATCATCATCATCATCATCATCATCATCATCATCATCATCATCATCAACGACACCGACAATAGCAACAACAACCACAACAACAACAAGCACAGCAACAACAAGCACAACAATACCAAACACACTCTCTCTCACACACGCACACACACACACGCACGCACGCACGCACGTCGGCACGCACGCACGCACGCACGTAAGCACACGCCCACGCCCACGCCCACGCCCACGCCCACCTCCCGCCCCCGCCCCCGCCCACGCCCACGCCCACGAGCCCACGCCCACGCCCACGCGCCCACGCCCACGCCCACGCCCACGCCCACGCCCACGCCCACGCCCACGCCCACGCACACGCACACGCACACGCACACGCGCTCACACACGCACGCGCACACGCATACGGAACCGCACACGTGGAAGCGCACGCTCACGCGTACGCGCACGCGCACACACACAGTCCTAGGGTCCCCAAGGCCTAGGTGGAGGTCTTTCGGACCTCTGGCTGGAGGCGGCCAGGCGGGGAAAACCAAATCGAGTTAAAACACTTTTCAGCTATATCCACATTCGGTATTGGAGAGTATTCCCCGCTAGCCTGGCCTCACAGAGCCGGCACACGTGCGCATGTGAGTATCTTGTTGTCGAGCCTACCGGTTGGAAAAAGACACGCACCTTCGCAGCAGCAGGAGCGTGGATATTCCAGCTTCCGCAAATACTCCGCCGACCTCCACGTCTGGGAGGACACCCCGGGGTCAGCAAGGACCCCCGGTAGGTTGACAAGACCCCCGGTAAGTTGACAAGAACGGTTGCCTTGAGACATTCTGGACACATTGGTGTCGTCGGGCTTCGGCGAAAGCAGGAGGAAGGCAGCGACAGGATAGTCAAGCACAACATTGACGTAACACTCTCACGCACTTTTTGGCAGCAACGGCCTCGCGCGCAGCGACGAGGCGGAGAAAAAGAACAGGCAGTGCGCGCGGTGGCCGGGCCCTCAGCATCGCTCAGGATGCGGTCCTCGCCCGTCACGCAATAGCTAATGAGACGATCGATATCGGTATACAGCAGGACCTCGGCCAGGAGAACATCCTTCAAGAACGCGAGACCCTCTGTCGGCCAGAACACACAGAACATCCAAGGGTGCCCTCCCAGAACCGACCTCGATCTCATACCTCCGTCCGGCTGTGTACGGACGACGCGTGCCCGTGCGCGGAAAGAGCCGCGCGCGGACGCGGCCGACCATCCGGGGGCCCCGCGCGCAGGGGCCTCGGGGCCTGCAGAAGGGGAGCGTGCGCGCGGAGCTGCGGCTCCGCCGGCCGGAAAGGCCCGAGATCTCAGCCAAAATAGTTACAGCCACACACATGCTCACACCCACACACACACACACACACATTCACGCACACACAGTCACACGCAAGTAACCTTCCCTGTCTGCTACACAACAGGAAAAACGTATGGAACCACGCTCCCGAGGTCACGATCCATCTCGAGAAACGATTGGCCACTCGGGTTCAAAACTACTGGTCCGCGCTCCCGAGTCCACGGTCGCTGGAAACAACTATGGATGCGCGTTCCCGAGGCCCCGATCGATAGTAAAAACAAGTGGGTTCGCCCTCACGAGCTTCCAAGGCGGTCGATGCGGGCAACCGAGGTCGCCAAGACGGCCCAAGATGGCTCCAAGATTGCCCAAGATGGCCCCAAAGGCGGCCCAGGATGCCAGGCCCAAGAGGTCCCCAAGGCGGCCCCAGAGAGCCACAAGAGGACCCCCAGTAGGATCCGAAGAGGTCCAGCTCGATAGAGCTCTAGAAAAAAACTGACTACTGACTCTGTACGTGTTCACGTTTTCGGGTTTCCTTCAGCTCCGGACGGCTCGAAGAGACATCCGTGATGGCCTCACAACGTCCAAAGAGAGCCCGACTGCCCCCTCCAATGCGGCCTCAAGAGAGTCCAAGGGGGCGCCTCTAGATGGCCCAGGACGGCTCCAAGAGAGAGCAAGCCGACCCGAGAGGGCCTCCAGAAGGGAACGGGCACCTCGACGGCCCAAGGCGGCCCCGCGACGACCGCGAGATACCAACGGACGGCAAGAGGGACCCAAAGACGGCCGAAGGGAGCCACTGAACGGCCCAAGAGGGCTTCAAGATGGCCAAAGGCAGCCTCGAATCGGACCAGCGAGGGCCCCAAGACGGCCCAAGAGGGCTCCGAGACGGCCCAAAGTCACCCAAGAGACCCTGAGGACTGCCCCACAGGAGCCCAAAGCAGCCCGAAGGCGACCCGGATGAACGCCATGAGAGGTCCTCCAGAAGTGAAGAAACGGGTCACATGTGACGGTCGTTGTCCTCCTCCTTCTCCTCCTCCTCCTCTTTCTTCTTCTCCTTCCCGTCGTTATCACCATAAGCATCACAAGCAGCAACAACATAATCATCCAGCAGTAGTATCGGCACTACCGCCGCCATAATCATAGTGATAAACATGATTGTCATCACTATCATCCTCACCATGTTACTCGCCCCCTCGTCCGTCACAATCCTACTCATATTAGCCTCCCCAATCATCATCGTCATCCTTCGATTACCCTCCCCATCATCACCATCATCACCATCATAATCATA